TCTTCCCCAAGTAGCCCCAACACCAACGAACAAGCTGACGATATGCTGTATATCTGTTTCTTCTTAATTGAATAAAAGAAAATCATGTTATCATGCACTTGTTATTACTTGTGATAGTCTTTGTGATTTTCTTCAAATGCTTTATTTCATTTTTGGAACAAATATGTAAAAATTCAATAAAATGTCTTACTGTTCAATGGTCTTTTGCAATTCCCCATACTGGGAACGATACTGATAATAGGCTGTCTCCAAGACGTAGATGTCGAGACAAACAGATTGGAATCCAGGGTGTTCTGTAATGCAAGGCAATTCTTTCTGATAAGATGTTCTCTTTTCATCAATCCTGGTGATTTCAGTGCAGCATATACTTTCTCTGAGTGTGGGTTTCGGAGTACAGAATCCACAAGTGCACCTACAATATTCAAACATGATTACATGGAAGTTATATTAGACACATCTTCGCAAGCCAAGGGTTTTCGGTCCACTTTTCTCCCCGCGAAGCAGACCGAAAACCCTTGGCTTACGAAGATGCATTAGACATAATGATTATTTATCAACTTTAATCTTTAAAAAAAAAATACTCCAGAAGTCCCATACATGTAGATAATGTGCATAGAGCAATACAGTTTTTGTTTTCAACTTATCATCAGGTATAAAGCATGGCCGTAGGAAGGGGGGGGTTGTCCCCCTCAAATAATTTTGCCGATATCTAGATTACTATAGAAAACATAGCTACTATATGCTTGTTGCTTGTGCCCCCTCAATGAAAACGTCTGATGACCTTTTTTTTTGCTTGTCAAGGAATTTTGGTAGTTGATAGTGCCCCCCCCCCAACTGAAAATGTTCAGCTGTGCCCCCCCCCCAACTGAAATTGCTTCCTACGGGCCTGTAAAGGGGCAAAATTTTATTCTCAGAGTTAGAGGTTCTGACAAATTTAGTTGTCATCTTAATTTTCTGCCATCGCAGAAAAAAAAAACATGTCCAAACTCCATGACTATAGAGACCAGAAAAGTTGACAAGCTACAAAAAAGTAGTAAACTCTTTGGGCGTGTATATACCACTTTTCAAGATCAGATTAATTATTTCCTTCTCATTGAGACAATTTTCAAGAATAGATCTAAATCTGCTAGCCCATAAGATTCAAATGGTCGTCCCGAACGAATATTCAGCCATGTTGCATGGGTGTAATTTACATGGCCTCATTTCTCGCAACATTTGGCTTATATAGTAATATTTTTATTAATTATTATTAGTTCAGACCATGCGAAATTCTATGAGTATAAAATATATATTTTTCTTTGTATTATACCAGAGAGTTTTAACGTGAAAGTCATACCAGTCCGTATTGCCGAGCCGCTGTGGGTTGTCGACATCGTCCTCACTTGAGCCATCAGATTCACTAGAATCACTCGCCTCAGGTTCAAATCGATAAGGGGCTACATTCTGGAAATGTTCTTCTTGTGTTTCTTCGAAGGATGAGGCCTCAAACGACATATGTAGGTCGATATCGGACGCAGAATCGGAGGCTTCGCTGTTGTTGTTTGTACTCGCCATTTTGAACTTGATGTGATGTGACGTCATGCGGGGTTTTTCGCTATTTATGGTAAAACCGGAAGTAGCGTTGATTGGTTTTAGACAGGTGCGAGAACCGCCTACTTTAACCCGGAATATCTCCGTTATCGTTGCGAATCTGACTGTAAAACTTACGGAATGTTTTTATTATACAATTCTACGTATTTTAAAACTAGCATTGTTACATACTTCCCAGACACTTTAAGCCCTGTTCATTTAATGTTAGGGTAGATTTTCTCTGATCCATATAATTTATTCGTATAAAATGTACAGTTTACATTTCTATATTATCTTCATTCCCTAACAAAACCGTTCTTGTCTTTGTCAGTTTCATATTTGGGGTCAGAAATAAGTCCTTCCTAAATCGGAAAAATTCACCTATATACATACATTTGTGTATGTGAATGTATATGTGTACAGTGTATATGTATGAATATATTATATTCGTATAATTATGCATGTATGTTTAATTGGAATGTATTTACATAATGGATATACCGTTCATAGTAATTTTATGAATACTCACTTGTTTACCCCGTTTATTGTCATCTACTGCTCAGTTTTCTTCATTTAATTAAGTGTATAGCAGTTTGGTGTTCCTTGTATGCGATGCTTATCTTCCATTTTATGAATCATACTGGTAGTTTAATGATATTAGTTGAGAATGTTTGCAAGTGAGGATCTGGGCAATATTTCACCTAATCAATCATTATTTGTTACAATCATGATTTTATATTATTGTTTTATTGTTTTCTAGGGAGGAAATTCAAAATCATATGTCCGTTTTAGATATTTTTAATATTCCCAACAATCAAAATGAATTTGAATTACCATACCTTTACTGGATTCCTAAACTTCATATAAATCCTTACTAACAAAGATACATAGCGGGTTCCTGTAAATGTTCTACCATATCTCTTTCTTTACTCCTCGCTAAATTATTTATTGTAATGAAGGAGAAACTTCAGGAAAACTGTACAACAGTATATTCGAGAAGTAGTGCAAATCAGATGTGGATACTTGAAAATCCCAAAAAACTTTTGGAAAATTTGAAATCACAAAATTTTACTAAAATCAATAGCATCAAAATGTACGACTTTTCAACACTTTATACAACCATTCCCCACGATAAAGATGTCCAGGCTTTATGATATCATAGACAGTTGCTTTTTCAATAAAAATGGAACTCGTAAATATACTAACCTTGTCACTGGTCATTTACAAAATTATTTTGTTAAAAAACACTCTGATTGTACGCACAAGTACTCTGAAGTTGATATTAAAATGATGCTTGAGTTTCTGATTGACAATATCTATGTAGGTTTTGGAGATCAGGTCTTCCAACAATCTGTTGGAATTCTCATGGGTACCAATTGCGCCCCCTTATTAGCAGACCTATTTTTGTATTCATATGAAGCAGAATTTATTCAAAAACTTCTACATGAGAAGAAGAAAACACTTGCTGTGGCCTTCAACTCGACATTTCGATATATCGACGACGTATTATCAATTAACAATAGTTACTTTCGTTCATATGTCGACTCGATATATCCCATTGAGCTTGAAAAAAAACATACCACAGATTCTGACACATCTGTTTCATATTTAGATATTTTACTAGAAAAAAAACGTTAATGGTAACCTAACAACAAAGCTTTATGATAAGCTTGATGACTTCAACTTTTCAATCGTCAACTCTTCCCTTACTTAATAAGTAGCAATATACCCTTATCACCTGCATATGGCGTTTATCTCTCAGTTGATTCAATACGCAAGAGCATGCTCTACATATGAGCAATTTCTAAAACGAGGCAAGCTATTGACAAACAAATTGATGAAACAAGGATATCAACAGTCTCGTTTGAAGTCATCAATTTGCAAGTTTTACGGTCGATACAATGACCTTGTCGGCACATACAACCTATTATTGAGTCAAATGCTGACCGGCGTTTATCGTGCTAATTGTTAGGCATTATTTATACACTGAACTGTCTACGGATTTTTTCCCGATCATGACAAGGAGCATACGGCGGGTGTGACCGGTCGGCAGGAGATGCTTACTCCTCCATGGCACCTGATCCCACCTCTAAAATTGGAGGTCCGTGTTTGCTCTGCTCCAAATCTGTATTGATTTATTGGACTTTCGAGATTGAATACTGTTCGTTGTCTTCATATTTCATTAATTGTACATGCACAACCCCCTTGCATAAGGGCCCTTAACTGGCGAATAAACATTTATTATATACGTGATTTTCTAGAGATGTCCATGATTTCTTTAGTAAGATTATTCTTGTTTTGATATACTAGTATCTTCAAACATGAAAAACCTATTTTGTGTGTGTGTGTGTGTGTGGGGGGGGGGGGGTCTGTTTTTTATTTTCAATGTATATAAATGATCTTGAAGATTTTTTATTGAATAAGAATGTTGTAGGCTTGCAAAGTATTACCAACGTTTTAAAACCGAGCATTGTTCATGGATAAAACACACAGTCTTTACATAACTGGTAGAACTTTAAAGGCCATCTGACGTACCGTTGTCTGGAAATCTCTTATAATGAATCGTAATGAATAGAACTTATATTTAGTGGCATAGCTGGCTGATTCGATATGTAGCGGTCATGTCTTGTAATCGACAAGAGTCTGTCTTATTAATAAAATGTAATGATCACCCGAAATTTCGTCGAAATGTAGCGGTAATGAGTTGAAATTTTTCGTAATGTAGCGGTAATGTTTACCTCCCAGTCCTTTGATAATATTTCAGTTTGCTTTGAACGACATCAATATACAAAGGAAAGAAACCCAGTTCGCCAATAATTGCTTTATCGGAGGCTTTCTTGTGAACACGACACATAGGTGTCGGAAGCAAAGAAACAGATTGAAAGGGGGGCTAATTGAAAGAGAGAAAAAATCAAATCTGAAAAAAAAATTGACACCCCCCCAAAGGGGGGGGGGTCGAACTTATTTCAGTACCAATTCTTTGTAAAAAAAAAAAGGGGGGGCTAAGCTCCCCCCCTCGGTTCCTACGCCTATGCGTCATATAAATTTTAAAAATTTTATGAAGTTTTTCACAATACATCTTGCTAAAAAGGTTTTCAAGGCAAAAATTGGGACTTTTTATAGCTTTGGTATCTGCATACTTCCCATGCACTGATGCAATGATGCATCAAGTAGAACAGGTAATGTTCCCTAAACAATAACGTCCGATAGATTTTTTTTTTACTTGTCAATATTTTTTTGTAACATATGCCCCCTCCCCAAACTAGAATTGCTTCCCACGGTCCCAATTTCGGTGAATAACCGGAACTCGAAACTCAGGATAGATCGACTTTTAGACCATCTTTAACTAATTTAACTCCTTTTACAGAAGAGTTTCAGATGAAACCGCGAGATCAGTTTTACAAAAATTAAATGTTCTTCCCTGCAGACAGTGCAGAGTGATACTATGGATATTTTGTAGCTACTTTAAAAAAAGACATCTGAACTAATTGTAAGTGTCATTCACAAGATTTTTGTTACAGGTAAAAAGTCCTGGAAATTATTTTGAGAATCGAAAGTAAAAATAGCTGTTATTTCTTGAAAGTGAGTGCATGGGTTTTATTTTCTAATTGAGTCTTTTCTGTATTAGATATAAAAATGAACTGAACACTATGAGATATATTAACAACCAAGTAGAAGGGTCGATGATGCTGTGCTCTGCTAGACGTTTGGCCAGTTCCGAATATGGTACCGATTTGGTGATGCTGTAAACTGGTAAATACACTCGGGCATTATTTTAGAATCTAAGTTGCTTGTCAATGTAGTCCGAAGACCTGTGGATTTAAATAAAGCTTCATCAAACTTAAGTCTTCTAAAGGAACTTTTCTTTAAGCAAGTTAACATAGGTAGTCATTTTAATTAATATTTGCCCGATTTTGCCGATGGTGAAATGGTTAAGGCAAGTGCAGTTTAATTTTTTGTAATAATTAAATCTAGCTCTCGATTGTTGTTTGCATGCTGCTAATGAATTTAAAGTTTTCAGTAAACTTCTTTAGTCTGTGTTACTGTGTATCATATGTTTACCTTTTTAAAAACAAGGTTTATAATTAATAGTTCGAAATATTCTCAATCTTGACAGACTCCCTGTGCATTTGGATTGAGATTTTGATGACCGTCACCAGGGACCTATATACTAACGGGATAGGCAACTCCTTCAGCGCCATGTTTATTTAGCCAAAACGGCACACACAACACTGCAAGTTTTTCAAACTACTTTTTTTCCCAGTAAAAAGCTTGTTTTCTGATTAATGTAATCTGTTCCTTTTGTGTATCGGAATGGATATTTAATAAATTTTAAAGCACATACTATAAAATAATTCAGGGATTTATCAGTACCTTCTCAGGGGCCGAAATTCGGCCCCATTCCCTATTGAAAATGAGTTCAGTTTTTCCCAATTTGGCAGTATTCTTTCCCAATTGTTGAACAATGCTTTTATATTTAATTATCTTGGAAAAACACAAGGAAAATTGTCAGATTGTCTGTAATTTTCATCTCTTTAAGTAATTTAGCAAAGCTACAGTCATAACACATGTTTAAAAGCACTGTAAAAACATCGCCAACTTGTAATCTGAATTTCCTCCATTTTTCTGAAAATGTTGATATTGTGTAATTATATAGATTTATTAAGTTATTTCTACATACTTAATTGATCTACGAGTGAATGTATAAGGACTGCATGTAGGCATTATTTCAAATAGAAAAATATATTTTCAGTGCATTAATTCATATTAAAAGAGTTTGACTTTGAGAAAATATATACTTGCAGGAGGTTTATATTTTCCAGAAACAGATTCTGTAATGACCTAAATTGGAATCTCAAACACACATGTACTACCCAAGTTGTATAAACACTTTATACTCATTGAAGTCAATTTTACTTTTATTAATCTATTATTCATAATTGATTTTGTATGAAGTTGGATCATATATAATTGTCTGTTTGGTTGCCCAAATTAGAGTTCATGCTGAAATATGAAATGAATTACACCTGAATACATGATTTAAGCAACATTTTTAATTTTTCCCAATTTCATCAAAAAGCCGATAATTTTTTCCCAATTCCCCTAAAATGGCATTACCCAAAATAGGCTGATAAATCCCTGCAATTTAGATATTAAGTAAACAACCACCAAAATCGGCGATTTCTTGGAAATACGGTCGATCAGGGGCACGTACTGATTTTTAAATAAACGTATTACTAATTACTACTAAGATAAGGAGTAAAAACGGTGCTGATAATAAATCTTGAATAATTTTTTGATAGATAAATTAAGATTTTATTCTGAAATATTTGATAGCAAAAGATATATATTCAATTAAAATTGACTTACGAAATCCCGCAACTTACGAGGTATCGCGAGAGTTGCCTATCCCGTTAGTATATAGGTCCCTGCTGTCACATAAAGATTATGAATGTCGTTTAAACAAAGTGTCTATTTTCTTACATTTGTCAGTTGTCTTAGTAGAAATCTTTTTTCTATAGTACTTCGCATTATGCGACATGTTTGTGAATAAACAAGTCGTACCTAAGAGAATTCGTAATTTACTATAATCGACTTTCACTTTCATACTAAACTGGTTCCAGCATATATACGAACTACCAGTTTACAACACGGAAGTGTTTCCTTCATATCTTCACAGTGCTTTTACGACTGTTAAAAATATGCTTTTTATTTTTTTTACAGTAATAAATTTTAAGCAATCATACATTGGGAATTTTTACACTCAAATTTGGGGAAAAAGGTGCCTTTTTCACGTTGGGAACGGGGCCGAATATCGGCTCCAATTAAAGAGAATCGAGAGCCCTGAATGAACACACAAATACTTACTCCTTTTCGTATCCTTAGTGTCTAATGTCTGTAGTTGCTCAAATGAATTTAACATTCAGATATTCTCACACTTACCTATTGCAAAATTTGATGTAAATAATAACCCATTTTGGATATTTTGATAAACATTGTATCTGCTTTTAATGATTGTAATTATTCCCAACCTAATAATCAACGAACATATTAAGAGGGCTGGGTGGTTTTGGCCATTTTCAGACTATATTGATCTCCTTTAGAAGAAGAGCTCCATATAAAGATATACAAAAATGATCAAATTTTAAAACTAAAATGTATGAAATTTTTGTTTGCAAAATGATAGTTGACAGCTTAAGATATCATATCTAAAAAATTAAGTTATATCTGATGGTTAATTTGTTGACCCCCCAGCCTCCTTAAATAGAATCTCATTCTCACCTTACACATCTTTAAAAGAATTACTTAACTCAAGTTTTAAGATTAATTTCTTTTATTTGTTAGGAATAAAGGAAAATCAACTACAAAAGAATGTGTAAAGAAAATGGATACAGATGAAAATTCCAGTAATAGCTCTTCCTGCACGGTGTTAGAGATTGATGGAGAGGAAGAAACGTGGAATAGCACTGCAAGAAGAGGTCAGGGAAAAAGAAAGAGTAATAAAAGAGGTCATTTGTCTAGATCTGATTCCAATGAGAAACATAGTAGTGATGGAGGGGGAATGAAAAAGAAAAGGTTAAAGAAAAAAGCTCAAGTTGGTGTAAAATCATCTGGAAGGAAAGAAACAGTAGGGAATCAACAAAGAAAATCCATTAAGGGAAAATCAGGAAAGGCAAAAGCTCTGTCCTCAACTAAGATTAACAACATTGGAATACATGGATTTGAGAGCGAACCTATATTTTCACAAGTGCTGAGAAGTAAAAATGGCTTTGAGTTCTCGGAAAATGATTCTGAGCAGACAGTCATGTTATCTGATGATGACAATAAGGCTGGGGGAAAAAATACTGTTAGAATTCCTTCAATCCATTTTAGTAGCAGTGATGGAGAAGTGGACACAGACGAGGAAGATTTACCTACTCTTGTTAAACCCCATTGCAGACATAAAAACTCTGATTTTGCTGGATTAGAGAGTTCTCGTTTCACAGTGAATCAGAAGACGTTCAGTACTCAGGACATCGAAGACAAGGAATTCTGGTCAGATCAGGAAGGGAGCAGTTCAGATGATGATACCCCCATTCTGCAACTGAACCTTGGAAAAATCACTGCAGCTTTCAAGGAAAGCAAATTGTCAGGATTCAAGGACAAAATTAACAAGGTCAGACTCACGAAAACAGATCTGAATGAAGAATCAGAGCCGCAGAATACTGGCAATTGGAAAAAAGTTTCTTCTTCCAACTCAACATCTTATCCCTCAAGACAGCTAAAGCAAGAGGCTGTAGACAATGTATTGATTGAGCATGGGAATCCAGTCTTGAAAGCAGGAAGCAAAATTAAGGATGAGTTCCAAATGAATATTACAAATGAAGAAAGTGAAGATGAGACTCAGCCATTTGATGATGACCTCCCTGACCTTTCACCTCCACCAGATGTTATTCAGTCACCTAGATCAGATAGTGAGCGAGAGCAATCACCGGAAATCTTTAAAGAGGAGGAGCCTTCTGTTAAAACTGAGCAGGTGTGCTACACTCAGATGGATGACTGCATCTACATAGAAGATTCTGAGGAGGAGGAATTGTCTCAGTCTCTCTTCCAGCAAGAAGTTAAGCTGGAGCTGGATGATTCTAGTGACAGTGATGTGGAGGATGGTAATGAAGAAAGCTGGCGAGAAATCCTCTGTCTTGATGATTCTGATGATGGCAGTGACACAAATGAGGTGGAAGTTTGACATTTTTATTTACTCATTAATTTTTTTAGGCTAGGGCTTATAAATTTAAATCAGTATATTGACTTCAGGGTATGAAAAGGATCCAATGTTACAAAGTATAGAAAATTTAATTATTAGAGACCTTGTTTGAGAATGATTAAGATCATGGATATTTGAGAATGAATAAGATCTTGAATAGACAGATGAAAATACTTTATACATTTGTTCTTAGGTAAGTAACATATGAGTTGTTATCTCAACCAAAAACCCTCAAATTCTTAAAGATTATGTTCTTTATTGCAGAGAGTTTACAAGAGAAATGACCCAGAGGAAACTTTGGATACTGCTTACGAAGTTGACACCCAGCTTGATGCGGATTTGTATAGAAATTCAACTCAGACTGATGGACGAGACCTGTACATGAGCGCTACTCAAAGTGACAGAAAAGATCCATACATGATTGCTACTCAAAGTGACAGAAAAGATCCATACATGATTGCTACTCAAAGTGACAGAAAAGATCCATACATGAGTGCTACTCAAAGTGACGGAAAAGATCCATACACGAGTGCTACTCAAATTGACAGAAAAGATCCATACACGAGTGCTACTCAAATTGACAGAAAAGATCCATACACGAGTGCTACTCAAATTGACAGAAAAGATCCATACACGAGTGCTACTCAAATTGACAGAAAAGATCCATACACGAGTGCTACTCAAATTGACAGAAAAGATCCATACATGAGTGCTACTCAAATTGACAGAAAAGATCCATACACCAGTGAAACTCAGACTGACAACCATCTGGTGTGTTCTAGTGACTCTGAAGACTATGATATTTATAACAGTGCCACACAAGTGGATCAAAACAGAAAGAATAACAGTAGGAATGAACAAAAATGTAAACTGAAGGATTTATATTTAGATTCTACTCAAGTTGATTCAAGATCTTCGATATATTGGAATCCATCTGAAAGAATGGAAGCAGGGCATAGAGAGGTGGATCCATACTCAAATGCAACACAGGTGGATGTTCAAGCAGGGAAGAAAAGAAGTATAACTCAGGTGGTGAGGAAGAAAAATCACTTAAAACAACAACAGGAGGACACAGACCCATATGCTTGCTGTACTCAGGTTGAAAATGACTCAGTTTTGAGTAGTTGTCAAGTTGAGGAAAGAGATCCATTCTCAGGAGCAACTCAGGTGGATGTGTTATGTCATTCACCAGACTCAGATGCAGCACACCCCCAGGTTGATCATGCTGGTAGTGGTGGAGGTTCATCAGTTCATGACACCGCTGATGAAGAGGGGACTAGTCCTGATCCTTATGACATACAAACTCAGATAGACACTTCTGATCATAAACACATCTCAGATTGGGACACTCAGAGTGTCTCTGAAATAGATGAGGATGATATTATTTTGCTGACTGAATTGGAATCTCAAGAGGAAGATGAAGCACAATCAGCCATTAAGGAAAAGACACTCTTAACAAAATCAGACATACAAACCAGCAAACCATTCAAACAGAGTGAAAAAGTTGCTACTAGAAATCATCAGACTGAGAATTTAGTCAATGTGTATGAACTAGCAACTCAGGTAGATTATGAAGAAGATAAATGTGTTCAGAATCACTCACAGAGCTTGGCAGAGGGGTCAGAGATAAGAGATGACTTGGAAGAAAACGATAAAAAGAGAGGGAAGACTAAGAATGTATTTGACTTGTACCAGATGGAAACACAAGTTACAGATCAGTCTAGTGTCAAACAGGTAGGCATTTTGGTTTTTACCACAAAAGAGAAATAAGATATTGGCATCTAACATTCAGCAAGTCCTCTCTAATAGGACAGAATTGATGAGATCTGGTAGAAATTACTCATACTTAAGGAAGAATTCATTTTCTTTCATGAATTTCAGTAATGTGAAATAGGTTTTATACCCCATTGTTGTTATAGCTTCCAATTTCCCAGGCTAGGTTTTGGAACAGGTCCATTGACCAAGTAACTATTAGTTGTGGAATTCTGGTGGGATCAAACTTGCATGGATGATGATTTAGCCATTATGCACACTGTCAGATTTGCACCTACATTTTTGACCAGGATAAAGATTTTGGAGTGATTCCACATCCAAGTAACTATATAAGCCGGACCAGTTCCTTACCAGCATGGATGATGTATCCAGGAATTTAGACTACTAGATTTGATTCTGATGCGACAAGTGACAATTAATTCTGAACTTTTAATAAGAAACATATACTACTAGATTCAAGTGACAATTAATTCTGAACTTTTGATAAGAAACATATACTACTAGATTCAAGTGACAATTAATTCTGAACTTTTAATAAGAAACATATAATTTTGAACATAACTAACACATTTTATTTTAAAAAAAACAAAACAAAAAAAAAAACATTTATATGCTATGAGCCACATCGGTTTTGTTGAGCCATGTGATCTTTCAGTCTTAGTTTGATAAGTGAAATTTTAAACATGTAATTAACAACCATTTGTAGAATTTATGTTGCTTTAAAAAAATTACTTGTGTGATCAGATATGTATTGCTGTACATCAGTAGCTCAGTTGTCAATAGAATTTCTAAAGCAGAGCCAGATTAAAATCAGCCCGTTTATTTTAGGATGAAGAACCAAAGTCCAGTGAGTCTTGGAGTGATATGGAATTATATGAATGTGACACTCAAGTTGATTTTCTGAATGATTTCCCAAAGAAAAGTATAGCGTCAGAAACATTAAGCAGGGTGCATTCGACAAAGAAAAGCTCGGTTTCATCATCATCAACAATTACCACACAACATCAGACTAAGTCACCTGAAAAACATTCAGATGACCTAGAGATAGTAAGTGAAGATTTAGTCGGTAGATGAAAAGCAGAGAAAAGATGCTGATGGATCAAAATAGTCTGAGTTCCTAAGTATAAAGGTTAAAGGGAACTGGAAATTCAAATTTTATTTATTTCACATTTCTGTAATAATATACAGTTCAATCATGATATCTCTAACATCATTATCTCAAATACCATGAATGTTGGAAGTTCAATTCACTTTTTCCTTTATGTATCTTAACCTCAATACCTTGATGGAATTCTTTTCTTGGTCCCATTGATTTCAAGATAAGGTTTGACTGTATTGTAAATATCCTTGCTTTTAAAATAGCTGATGCTAATTTATTTTATTCACATTCACTCATTCAGTTTATTTTTCTTAATGAAATCTACGAGTCAGTATTTACTCCCCTAAAACACACACGAAACCTTGTTACAGCAGTTAGAATACACAGTAGAAGCTAAATACTCTTACACCCTCTATACACTAGGAATACCAAAATGTATATTGTTTTGGCTCAGTTTAATTAAAACAACTGTTCTATTACATTGTTGTAAAAAAATAACAATTGTATGTTTATATTTAATTTGTCATTTTTTTCCCTCGCAATATTCATTTGCGTTATTTAACTTTCCATGTCAGAATGTCTGTTAACCACATCAGCTCTGAAAGACACTAAATTTATGAAAAAGATTATTGAAATTAATGTTTATGAATAGAGAAAATCAAAGAATGAAAATATAAGAATTTAATTCTTATTTTTGGATGTCATCGGTCATATATGGCACGTGTCCATGCCCACAAATTATCATACCACACTAAAGCACGGTATTCAATTTGTCAGCATGGCCAGGTACTGTTATACGACCGATGACATCCAAAATAAAAATTCAATGCTTAAATATTACAGTTTATAAACAGTTTAAATCTCTCCTAAGTGGGGTTTTGAGATTATTCTGTTAGTAGGGGTCTACCACAAATTAGTGGTACTTTCCAACATAATTTTTACTGAAATAGCATAGCTAAGCAATTCATTAATATTTTAATGGTACTCAAAACATTTTTTTTCAGGCAAAATTAGATGGGGTGGAAAGCTCTGCAAAGAAAAACAGTCGGCAAGACCTACGCCATTCTTCATACAATCCCCCAATGTTAAAGAGGGTGATGTCCTCTAACCAAAGACCTGTCATCCCCATATCACCTCAGAGAGAAAAGTCAACAAAGGAAAAGAGAGAGCAGTTCAAAGCTAGGAGTTTTTATTCAAAGAAACAACTAGATTTAGGAGAATCAGGCAGAAGGACGAAAGAGACGGATTATAGCATCACAAAGACATTGACCTCACATATAAATGCTGGTCCTGCTGGAAGTAGTGTTGAAACTGACAGAAATGGAACATCTGGATGGCTGTCAAAGGCCACCGGAAAGACAGATTATAGAAAAAGACGACGAGCTATCAGTGGAGGAGCTCAAACAAAGAAAAGAAAGGAGGAGGTGACAACAACAGTGAATATGGATGCTATAATTAAAGCTAAAGCAGAAATGATTGCTCGGAACTGGGTCAAACCTTTATTACCAGAACCAGTCAGAAAAGCCAGTATAAGTGAGTTTCTTTTTATATGAGACATTATAAAGAATTATGTACATGTGTTATTAGTTATGCAGTTAGTTAGTGACCTAATACAGACTCGTCCAGGGTGTGAAATGGAAATCCATATTGGATGAGGCAAAGCTGGATGACTCTGTATTAGGTCAATAAGGAACTGTATAATGAATTTATTCTGCTAAAGACCTTAACAAGACTGGTGTTGAGTCGACAAGTTCCCTTAATCCCAGGGTGATGATAGAATTGATGAGAATCATCTGTGGATTCCAACAATGACCCTTTGCTTGCTGCCATTTGTTTACATCAGAAACATCGTAGAACAGAATCTTGTGCCTGATTTTTAATACACCCCCTGCTCAGACACATATTAGAAAACATTGGGGCATTTTGTGTTCTGTTTTTAGCCGTCAGTATTCTACAAATTTGTCTGAAGGGGGATAATAATACATGTACAGTCTATAAATATTTAGTATGAGAGAGAATTCATTTCTAATTCTTTAAAATTATTGCAAGAGGCTTCTTAATAAATCTCTGTTTTTATGCCCCGCCATAAATATTGCTGGGGCAAATAGTTATTGTCGTGTTTGTCTTCTGTCCCTCTGTTCTTCTGTCTGTCCTTTGTCAAACTTTGCATTTAACTCGGTTTCAAAAAAACTAATTAAGATATTTTTATCCAATGTCATATGCTGGTACATATTGATGATAGCTATTTGGATGCATCATTTTTTTTTACCTTGACCTTTCCTCTGACCTTGACCTTACTTTTCTTAAATTTGTGTTTAGTTCAAATTCAAAGAAACTGCTCAAAATATGTTTATCAAACCTTATATTCTGATAAATACTGATGGGAACTTTTCAACTTCATCATTTTTTTTTTACCTTGACCTTTCCTTTGACCTTGACTTCCCTTTTCTTAAATTTATGTTTAGCTAAGTTCAAAGAAATTATTCATGATATTATTTTCAAACTTCATATGCTGATGCATATTGATGAAAGCTATTCAACTGCATCAACATCTTTTGACCTTAACCTTTTCTTTGACCATGACCTAACTTTCTTAAATTAGTGATTATCTCAATTTCAAAGAAACTTAAGATATTCTTATCAAATCTTGTATGCTAAAAATGTTGATCAGAGCTGTTCAACTCCATTAACATTTTTTTACATTGGCCTTTCCTGTTACCTTGACTTCACTTATCTTTAAATGCTATTAAGCTTAGTTTCAAAGAAACTGTTCAAGATATTTTAATCAAACGTAATATGCTGATACAAATTGGTTAGGGCTGGGATGATACAACTTTTTCTATATCAATACGTATCACGATATTTGAGACACGATACGATATGTATCACGATATGTTGAATTGGTTTTAAAATCTTTTTTCCGTATTGAAATGAACAAAACATGTTTTCACAAATAACAATAATTTAATTAAAAAAGTTGTATATCTGTTCTAAAACAAAATTAATTTACACAAGTGGTGTTATTTATTATTTACTTCATATTTATATTGATATTTAGCGTATTTATTTTATATATTTAACCTAAAATTTTAAGTAAACAAAGAAAAACATAAGTCAGAACTTTCTGGGTGATATTTCGATATTTCCTCATACGTATCGATATGCGTATCGTCCTCACACAGAATCGATATTATCGATATCTCGATGTATCGTCCCAGCCCTAATATTGGTGAGAGCTTTTAAACTGCATCAACATTTTTGACCTTGACCTTTTTCTTTGACCTTGACTTCAAATTTGTATTTAGCATAGTTTTACAGAAAAAATCAAGATATTTTTTATCAAACTTCATATGCTGATACATATTGAGGAGAGCTATTCAACTTCAGCAACATCTATGACCTCAACCTTTCCTTTGACCTTGACCTCACTTTTCTCAAATTTGTTGCTTTTTTTTTTTGGCTCAAAGAAACTATTCCAGATATTTTTATGTAAACTCATGCACTGATACATTATTTGGTGAGAATTCATCAACCTTACCAATGGCTTTTGACTTTACTATATATTGTGTATTAAACTCAGTTTTAAAGAAACTATTCAAGGTATTTTCAGCAAACTTCATACCCTTATACAAATTTTCATTTTGCATTATTAATGAACCCTGGGTGAGGTATTCATGATCAATAGACATATTTCATTTCTAGTTTTCTCTATTTCTGTAAAAAATTGTCATTAAACAGGTACCAGTTCAAATTTTACTGAGGATGTGGAAATGCCAGAACTAGAGGAGGTTATGAGAAAACAGTTGCCATTACTAACCACGGAAAACAGGCGCTCTCATTCCTCACCAGCAAAGCAAGGTAATACAAACAACAGAAAACAGGCTGTCTCATTCCTCACCAGGAAATCAAGGTAATATTAACAATAGAAAACAGGAGCTCTCATTCCTCACCAGCAAACCAAGGTAATATTAACAACACAAAAACAGGTGCTCTCATTCCTCACCAGCTAAGTAAGGTAATATTAACAACACAAAAACAGGCACTCTCATTCCTCACCAGCAAAGTAAGGTAATATTAACAACAGAAAACAGGTGCTCTCATTCCTCACAGCAAAGCAAGGTAATATTAACAACAGAAAACAGGTGCTCTCATTCCTCACCAGCAAAGCAAGGTAATATTAACAACAGAAACAGGTGCTCTCATTCCTCACCAGCAAAGCATGGTAATATTAACAACACAAAAACAGGAGCTCTCATTCCTCACCAGCTAAGCAAGGTAATATTAACAACACAAAAACAGGTGCTCTCATTCCTCACTTGCTAAGCAAGGTAATATTAACAACACAAAAACAGGTGCTCTCATTCCTCACCAGCTAAGCAAGCTAATACATGTATTAACAAAACAAAAACAGGCACTCTCATTCCTCACCAGCAAGGCAAAATAATATATTAACAACATAAAAACAGGTGCTCTCATTCCTCACCAGCTAAGCAATGTAATATTAACAACACAAAAACAGGCACTCTCATTCCTCACCAGCAAAGCAAGGTAATATTAACAATAGAAAACAGGTGCTCTCATTCCTCACCAGCAAAGCAAGGTAATATTAACAACAGAAAACAGGTGCTCTCATTCTTCACCAGCAAAGCAAGGTAATATTAACAACACAAAAACAGGGACTCTCATTCCTCACCAGCAAACCAATGTAATATTAACAACAGAAAATAGATGCTCCCATTCCTCACCAGCAAAGCAAGGTAATATTAACAACACAAAAAACAGGAGCTCTCATTCCTCACCAGCAAAGCAAGGTTATGTTAACAACAGAAACAGGAGCTCTCATTCCTCACAGCAAACCAAGTAATATTAATAACAGAAAACAGGTGCTCTCATTCCTCACCAGTAAAGCAAGATAATATTAACAACAGAAAACAGGTGCTCTCATTCCTCACCAGCAAAGCAAGGTAATATTAACAACAGAAAACTGGCACTCTCATTCCTCACCAGCGAAGCAAGGTAATATTAACAACAGAAAACAGGTGGTCTCATTCCTCACAGCAAACCAAGTAATATTAACAACAGAAAACAGGTGCTCTCATTCCTCACAGCAAACCAAGGTAATATTAAGGAAGCGATTGCAAGGGTCCGTGAAAAAAATCCGCTCAATGAATTTTTCTAATTTTTACATATAATTTGCCTTGCGTTAATTGTATCATAATATGAAAATTTTAACCATGGTCATCAGGGTTATAAGGATGATGGTTGCCATGGTAACTGCAGTTTTTCAATATTTTGATATTTATGAGGTGAAATTTTATATTTCCAATACAGGTATCAAAATTGAAACAAAATTAAAAAAATCCACTAAATAATAAATAATATGCCTTATATTCAATGAAAATAAAAATTGTATCGGAAACTATTGGTAGATGTAGTAATGCCACCACTGCTTTGGGGAGTATTCATTGTAAATTTGCAGTAATATTTTCACCTCAAGAAGAGTTCTCAACGTCTTGACAAAAAATTACCCAATAAATTTTCCAAAAACTAATATATTTTGTACAAATTATTATGAGTGACTTATGGTTAAAATATGAAGTAAGCTAGGACATCACATTCATTTTGAAGCTACATGCATTTCAATAACACCCCCCCCCTTCCTAAAATATTATAAGCTTTCATAAATTTGCATATAATGGTTTGCTGCTGAACCTTAAATATGTTTAGTCTGTAAAAAGACTAAAGAAAAAACAATATGTATAGATTAATAAATACTTTTTTTCTGAAAATCTTGCGTCTGTTGCTCATTTTACATGTAAATCAGAATAACAAAAGGAAAAAAAATCATGTACTCAAAAAAATAACAACATGCACATTTTTTTTTTTTTCCCGTCTCCAAAACATTCATTCTGTTATTATATCAATATAAATATATATGTTTTAAACCAGTACACAGTGGTCCAAGGGGCAAATTGTTCATGCGCTGAACAAACATCGAGGTCTCTGCACTGTCACCTGGAATGGAGGGGGTGGGGGGGGGGGTGGGTGGGGGGTTAGACACCTGTCTGAACATATTGAATAATATGGGTTATTTCATAGAACTTGTATCTGCAATAAATACATAAAAATCCTAATATCTTATTTGGCAACAAATAGTGATTTGCTATTTAATATTTACATTTGCAAATATTTTTCCTTCATATTCTTCACATCATTTTCTCATGAACTAGGTACATGAGTACATGAGGGAGCAAGAATATCTCCATTGTGACATCATAATTCCACACTTGACGTCAAAACTAGAAACTTTAGTTTTCAAAAATAATTGTTGAATGACATAAATTTGCGTCGCTTTGTGCTTATGCGCTTCATAAAATATGCCGGCGTGAAGTGTCTTTGTTCATGTCCTCGTGAATTTTCAAAAATTATTATTTTAAAAATTATTTTTTGCTAGATTTGTGAAAACTTGCAAAAAGAAACTTTTCTTTTCTGTCAGAAATGTGTTCAGTTTCAATTTTTGACAAAATACGACGCATAAAACATTATACAACAAAATGTTTACACAATATATGCACCAATGATTCAATGTTTACATGGCCGATGTAAGTGTTGAAAATGCTAGAGAAGATCTTATAGAGGAAAATAAATTTCCTCTGCAATATTAAAAAAAAGATGTCCATGTCCAGCATGCAACCTCAAACCTCAACCTCAAAGTCTATAACGTATATATCAAAATCGCATTCGTTCATCTGTTCATCCATATTCATTAATCACTGAGAAAATCACGCTGTCTGAAGCTTGTAGGAAATGAATATATATACGTTGATGTAGATCCAATTGTAAATTCTAATATTTTAATTAATGAAAACAAGAGGACATAAAGATCCAGATATAAATTCAATTTATTTAATGAAATAGATTTCAATGTTCAGAACTATATACACAAAAGCTAGACGTGTCAAAACAAAACACGTAGATGAAAAAATCTGTGTCAACGCTTCCCAACACTTTGCAGCATCACGTTCTATTCTTTCTCTGTTCATGAAAAATTGCCACGAGGATTTTTTGTCGTTGGCGCAATCATATCACGCCCCTTATTCCGGAAATGGTTACCGTTAACTTTCTTTTTTTAAAAATCACTTGAGTCAATCACGTGACGCCATGCAATCGCTTCCTTAACAACACAAAAACAGGTGCTCTCATTCCTCACCAGCTAAGCAAGGTAATATTAACAACACAAAAACAGGCACTCTCATTCCTCACCAGCAAAGCAAGGTAATATTAACCACGGAAAACAGGTGCTCTCATTCCTCACCAGCAAAGCAAGGTAATATTAACAACACAAAAACAGGTGCTCTCATTCCTCACCAGCTAAGCAAGGTAATATTAACAACACAAAAAACAGGAGCTCTCATTCCTCACCAGCAAAGCAAGGTAATCTTAACAGCATAGTTGACCAAACTTGCATGGATGATACAACTAAGGATGCACACTATTGGACTTGCCTCGGATGCTGATTCTGACCTACATTTCTGGATGAGTGATCAGGTTAAAGTTTTTGGAGCAGATCTCATTTCCAAGTAACTATAAGCCCCATATTGACCAAACTTGCATGGATGATATATCTAAGGATGCACACTACTGGACTTGCTTCCAGTGCTGGATCTGACCTACATTTTCCGGATGAGTTACCAGGTTAATGTTTTTGGGAGCAGGTCCATTGCCAAGAAACTATAAAAAGCCTATCTGAACCAACTTGCCTGGATGATGCATAAAGGGACGAACACTCTCAAACTTGCTTCAGATGCTGGATTTGACTTGCACATTTTCTGGATGAGTGACTACCTCAAAGTTTTTAGATAAGTCCATTCCCAAGTAACTGCAAGCCCTTTCAGACCAAAATTGCATAAATGTTGCATCTAGGGATGCACACTACTATATTATTAGTTTAGTGTGGTACTTTGCCTTACTTAAAGATAACATTCGTTGAGGTGATCTTTGTAATCTCTGATTACCTAATGTTTTTTTTTTTTCCAGGTGAGACTGCATCCAGATATGCAGACAATGTGGGTGATGTCCATTTTCAGACACACAAGGAGAATGAAAGAAAAGACACCTTAAAAGATAGTTCTTATAAATCCTATTTAGTAGACAATAAATTAAGTGACTCATTTACAAAAAACAACAATCACAAGTCCAGATTAAGTAATAAGGAAAGTCAGCAGAGTTCTAGTTTGAAAGATAAAAGTAGTTCAGTTATGATTTCAAATAATGAAGATTTAAAATCCAGTAAAAACAATTTTGAAAAAACATATGCAAAAGACAAGAATAATTCAAGAGAATTTAGTTCAAGTAACATGGATAGTGTAAGAAGATCCAGTGCAAAGGATAGTTCATCAAAATATAATTCAAGAGACAAAGACAGTACCTCAAGACCAAGTTATAAAGATAAGAATTGTTCAAAAGATAGAGGTAGGTCAGCATTTCACATTTCAAAGGAGTGTTCAGTAAAATCTGTTTCAAAGGAGAGTGGTAATTCAAAAAGAGAAGATTCTAAGAGTAAGGATACTAAAGAGAGATCTCATTCAAAAAACAGTGAAAGCTTAGGAAAATCTAGTTCAAAAGACAAAGAATGTCTGAGAACATCTCATTTAAAACAAAGTAATAGTGCAGGGAAATCCAGTTCAAAACATATGAATAATTCAGAAAGATCATCTAGTTCAAAAAGCAAGGATAGTTCAGGAAAATCTAGCTCAAAAGACAGGGATAGTTCAAAAGATAAGGATAGTTCCAGATCAAAGCATGGTTCAGGGAGATCTCACTCGAAAGATGAGGAAAGTTCTAAAAAATTAAATTCAGATTATTCAGAAAGTTCAGGAAAATCAAATTCAAAAGATCAGGATAATGGTCTTAGAAAAACTTGTTCAAAAGACAGAGATACTTCAAGAAGATCCAGCTCAAGAGAAAAAGATAGTTCATCCAGTTTATGGCATGGGTCAGAAAGACATCTCTCAAAAAACAATACTTCATTGGAAACTGCAGAAGAAAATTTTAATTCTGGAAAATTTCATTCAAAAGATAAGTATAGTTTAAAATCAAGTAAAAAAGACAAGGATAATATAAGAGATAAACATAGATCCAGTATATCAAGCTCTAAACATAGCTCCAGGATATCAAGCTCAAAGCAGAGTTCAGGAGGATCTCATTTAAAAGACAAGAATGGAAAATCCACTTTGGAAGAAAAAGACATAAAGAGATCCAGTTCAAAAGAATACTATACTTCAATTACATTAGATGCAAGGGAAGTGGATGGGAGAAATGTACAAAAACACATAAATCTGGGAGGAAATGGAAAAGAGAATTCTTCTAGTAGCAGTTCTAGGAACTCTTCTTTATTAGAGTCCATTGATATCCCAATAGAAGATACTGGTAATTATAATAGAAAGCAAAAATTCAAAAATTTAAATTCTGAACACAATGAAGTAGAAAATAATTTGGCAGAGAAGAAAGTTTCAGACGTTTTAAAATTACATCCAACCACTACTACCTTTCACGAGGGCAAAGGATTGGAGACAAATGTTGGGGCTGATGCTCTGACATCACCTAATGGTTCTTCTGCTCCAGGGATGGTAGAGGATGTTGGATGTGTACAGCAGACTGACAAGGAGGAGGAAGAGGAAGATGTGAAACTGGGAAAATTAGCAAAAGCAGCTGCCATTGAAAAACTCATCTCCTCACAGGAAATGGAGGAAGATGGATCCAATGTTATCATTATTGATGATGATGATCTTGATGATGATGTTGGTGAAGAGAAAAAGATGGAAACATCTACTAAGAAGAAGCCAAATTTTGTGAAGGTTGTATCAGGCATTAAATCCATCCTCAACAAAGAATTCCGTACATTTTTTGCTGATAAAAATGATGAGAGTGCCAGAAGAGGTCAGTGTGTTAAGTTCAGACTTGCATCAGACCATGCTTCACTGCGCACCCAGAAGTATGTAAACTCCCTCATCCAGAAGAAAAAGGGGGGAGTTCAGCCAGCACAGAGTAATATACATCAGCTAGTAAGTGGTCAACAACTTACACATAGTGAGGGCTGTAGGACAGCAGAGAAACAACAGGGACCCTGTAGTGTCCAGAAAAATATTCCTAGAAAAGTAAGTGTGTGGTAATTTGTCAGATATATACCCTTACCAACTGCTGCCTAGGATCTGTCTGCTAATGATACTATTGTTTAAAGTTAACATAATTAGATACAATATGTAAGACTGCAAAAGTAACACTAAGATATATACTTTAACTGTATTCATTGGTTGGTACCCTGTAGCTTCAAGCAGTATCCAGCATGGACTCGGCTTGTGTGGCTACCCAAAACAGACAGGTCAAGGTCAATGGAAGTAGGTCAGCTGGGGTAGAAAGTGACCACTGCTCCCAGTTCTTCAAACACCTTTTAAAGTGGAATCCTGCCTGGTTTGCTGAAGCAGGTAAATTACATAAAGAGAATATTGTGTGTAAAAGTACAATATGTTCATAAACTGAATATGGTGTGTTGATTTTAAAGATTGTGATGTTTTCTGAATGTGTTTTTGTTATTTTTCAGTATTTATTTTTGTCACTCTAGATTTCTATCGAATTTTAAGATTCATCATTGTAAGTCCTGTAAAAGTTAAGTTGGTTAGTTATTTATTTTACCTCCGAGGGAACCACTTGGAATTCATTTAATACAATGTACATTGACGCTTATTTAAAGCAAAAATTGAGATGTGTTCGCACATTTTTCTTAGAAAGGATTTTCAGAATTTTAATCTACTTTAATATTGTTATTAAAAAAATATGAGGTTTATATGGTCTACTAATCAAGTAGTGCAGTTATTTAAAGTATTAATACCAGCTTTCTACCTGCCAAAACAGAAGGCACTCCCCCAGAAGATTAAATGAGATTTAAGCTGTTTGGAAGCTATAAATTTGGAATGAAATTATCATTAAGCAATTGAATTTAATTTAAATTTCTATTAACCTTTCCAACTGTATTACCAATATCAAAACTGAACATATCAAAACTCAACATACAGTTAAGTTATGTATTTTTATGGGATAAAATTTTCGAGGTGTGAGGAAAAAATTTGGGTTTGTGGGATTTGTTTTTAGCTCACCTGAGCTGAAAGCTCAAGTGAGCTTTTCTGATCACCCGTTGTCCGTCGTCCGTCCGTCCGTCTGTCCGTCCGTCTGTAAACTTTTTACATTTTCGACTTCTTCTCAAGAACCACTGGACCAATTTTAACCAAACTTGGTACAAAGCATCCTTGGGTGAAGGGGAGTTTAAATTGTTAAAATGAAGGGCCAAGTCCCCTTCAAAGGGGAGATAATCAAGAAAATACAAAAATATGGTGGGGTCATTAAAAAATCTTCTTCTCAAGAACCACTGGGCCAGAAAAGCTGAAACTTATGTGGAAGCATCCTGGGGTAGTGTAGATTCTAAATTGTTCAAATCATGACCCCCCCCCCCCCCCCCCCCCCCGGGGATAGGGCGGGGCCACAATAGGGAATCCAAGTTTTACATTGAAATATGTAGTAAAAATCTTTAAAAATCTTCTTCTCAAGAACCACGGGGCCAGAAAAGCTGAAACTTATGTGGAAGCATCCCGGGGTAGATTCTCATTGTTCAAATCATGACCCCTGGTGGTAGGGCTGGGCCACAATAAGTACTGGGGGGGGGAGGGGTGGAGAAATCAGGTGAAAAACAGCAAGGCCGAGGTTACTCAGGTGAGTGCTGTGGCCCATGGGCCTCTTGTTGTAGATGAAGAATTGTTGCGTAGTTATATGTATATGGAATTTTACATTTCATGGTGGACATACCTTAAAAACAGCAAAAATAAAATCTCAATGAAAATAAGTGATTTCACAGTATCTGTGAATGGACAGTAAATGCTTACATCTGCAAGCAGAAATTAAAGCTTATCTGAGCCATCTTGTTTTTTGACAATACAAAGACTAAAGCTTTGTTCTGAGCTGGCTTATCAGGCGGGTATTGTCAAGATGTATACAATAAGTGTTTTTTTCCCCCCTTATATAACTGGTACCAATAAACAGTACCATTTCTAGTGCTAAAATTCATGAATTTTTAGGTCACCTGAGTCACTCAGGTGACCTATTGCTATCCGTTTTTGTCCGTCGTGCGTCGTGCGTTAACATTTAAACATTTTCAGCTTCTTCTCTGAAACCTCTCAACCAATTCAACCATTTTTGGCATATAGCATCTATGAGTGAAGGGGGACAAAAATTATGAATTTCATGGTCCCTGCCCCCCTGGGGCCTGAGGGGTGGGGCTAAAACCACCAAAATTAATGCAATCTTAAAAAATCTTCTTCTTTACTCCTGGACATCAAACAGTCAAACTGTTGGCATGATTGTAATAAGCATTGAGCCCTCTACCAAAATTTTGAAATTCATAGCCCCAGGGTCAGGGGTTCTGGTGCTAGGGCGGGGTTATATAGATCATATAGTGAAAGTGCATTATTTCTTTGAAAATCTTCTTCTCTGCTCCTGTGTATTAAATAAACTAAGTACATAGTTATGTTGAGCAAGACTGCCTCTTCCAAAATTGTGAATTTCATGGCTCCTGGGTCAGGGGTTCTGGTGTTAGGGTGGGGCTCTATTGATTATATAGTGAAAATGCATTAAATCTTTGAAAATCTTCTTCTCTGCTCCTGGGTATTAAATAAACTAAGTACATAGTTATGATGAGCTTGGCTGCCTCTTCCAAAATTGTAAATTTCATGGCCCCTGGGTCAGGGGTTCTGGTGTTAGGGCGGGACTCTATTGATTATATAGTGAAAATGCATTACCGGTAAATATTTGAAAATCTTCTTCTCTGCTTCTGGGTATTAGATAAACTAATTAAGTACATAGTTATGATGAGCTTGGCTGCCTCATCCAAATTTCTGAATTCCATGGCCCCTGGGTCAGGGGTTCTGGTGTTAGGGCGGGGCTCTATTGATTGTATAGTGAAAATGCATTAAATCTTTGAAAATCTTCTTCTCTGCTTCTGGGTATTAGATAAACTAACTAAGTACATAGTTATGGTGAGCTTGGCTGCCTCTTCCAAAATTTTGAATTTCATGACCCCAGGGTCATGGGTTCTGCTGTTAGGGTGTGGTTCTATTGATTATATAGTGAAAATGCATTAAATCTTTGAAAATCTTCTTCTCTGCTTCTGGGTATTAAATAAACTAACTAAGTACATAGTTATGATGCGCATGGCTGCCTCTTCCAGAATTGTGAATTTCATGGCCCCAGGATCAGGGGTTCTGGTGTTAGTGTGGGGCTCTATTGATTATATAGTGAAAATGCATCAATTCTTTAAAAATCTTCTTCTCTGCTCCTTGGTATTATTTAAACAAAGGAAGTGCATGGTTATGATAAGCAAGAATACCTCTTCCAAAATTGTGAAATTCATGTCCCCAGGGTCAGGGGTTCTGGTGAAAGGGGGGGGGGGGCTCTATTGATTATACAGTGAAAATTCATAATTTCTTTCAGAATATTTTTTCTATTCCTGGTTATAAAGCAAAGAAACAAATGTATAGTTATGATGAGCAAGGATGGTTTTACAAAATTTTTAAAACTTGTGGTCCCAGGGTTTCTGTTGTGTCTATGGGGGGGGGGGGGGGGTATTGATAATATAGTGAAAATGGGTGAATTCTTTGAAAATCTTCAACTACATATAATTGCATAGTTATTATGATGAGGGTACCTCTTCCAAATTTGTAAATTTCCTGACCCTAGGTCATGGGTTCTGGTGTTAGGGTAGGGCTATGTTAAATAGTGAAAATGCATTATTTCTTTGAAGATCTTCTCTGCTCCTGGGCATATTGGAGGCAAACAGAGTAAAATGTTTTAATAAGCAAGGGTATTTTTACCAGAATTTTGAACATCTGGACCATTTAGTCAAGTGTTCTGGTCCTGGCCAGGGCTCTATTAATTTGTATTCTACTGAGTGAAGTTATTCCCCTTTGCCATTCACCTTTGATAATTAATCACTGTAGATAATGTATTTGAAAGGTTAATAGAATAAGAGAATTATGCAAGAACATTTATTGTATAATACAAAAAGTACTTTCTTAGTCTAAATGATCAGGTAGACTTGGAAATAATACATGAATAAAAATGAAACAAAAATAACTTATCTTTTTAAATGTTCTTCAAAGGCCAAGTGAGGTCAATGTGAGAAGTTAAAGACATTTTGTTACAAGTCTGCATGGTAATAGTGATAAATAGGGGACAGATAGATAGATACTAGAACAATTATTTTCTTGATCTTAATTGTACTATTTTTCTTGCTTTTTTCCAACAAAGCTTCATTTATCAGTTTATGGATCCTCTAAATTGTTGTACTCAGGTGACCGTTAAGGCCCTTGGGCCTCTTGTTTTCAATTTTGAGACTAAAAATTTAGCCGCTGATCCAGGATTTTTTTCCAGGGGGATCCACCTCAGTGGAAAAAAAATTCCAACCCAGAAAATATCCTGACAAGCATATAAAAAAAAAACTCCTTTCTGAAATGCATCAAACCCAGAAAATTTCCTGACAGGCCAAAAAAAAAAAGGGTAAAATTCCTTATCCAAACGTGAAAAAACCTATTTCGTGATGGTGGTGGTGGGGTCCATGTTTTCCAGGGGGGGGGGGGTCCAAAGTCATTTTTGATTTGCTTTAGTATATATTTTAAATAACTCTGCAAATTCTGGACCTCCACCCCACCCCCCTCTAGATCATGCATGAAATTCTGAATTCAACTACCAAGGAACAGACTACAATGACATCATAATTCTTTTCAAATGAAATGGTGTATGAGTTGACCATGAAACATTTTAAATGAATTAACTAAATGTAATCGAAAGTACAGTTCAGTCATATCATGGTGGGACACATGTTGTATGTTTGTTGTTTAACATCCCTCGAGAGAATTTTTCACTCATATGGAGACACCACCACTTGCCAGTGGAGAGCTGCAAATTTTGACCTATGCTCTGCACTGAGGGCCATTGAGCAGTGAGGGATCTTTTTTTGTGCCAGCACCTACTGCAACACGGGACCTCGGTTTATACAGTCTCATCGGAAGGACCAGTCTCCACATCCCACAGTGGGATTCGAACCCGTGACGTAAGGATCAACTCCTTACTCCACGACCTTAGAGCAGACGTTCTACCACTGCGCCACATTGGCGACGGGACAATTGTTGTAGACGGTCTAGTATCTTACATTTCTGACAAAGGACATTAATATGTCAAACAACGAATACTTGTTATTTATTGTTTAAAACATGGATTAACAGGTAATGTGAAATAAATTTCATTTGTTGTCTGACATGACAGAAAATTCCGCTTTGTTCTATTTCAGTGATATTTTTCCCAATTGAATCGTTAGCGGAAACATTCCCAATGGTTAGAAAAAAAAATTCACATCAAGAATTTCAGAATTGAAGGATATATCATGGTTTAAAGTGCAATTTTTTGCTAGATATATTGTGTCAACCTCTACTAAAATTTGAAGAGCAGCAAGTTCCACTGTGCTTTGTAATTAAAAAAAAGTGCATAAATGATCCAGTTTAAAAAATCTCAAATATGTGATCAAGGAAAAACTCATGTTATACCAGTTGCAATAAAAATTCTTACTGATATTACCCTTTAGGTCTGGTGTTTTACTAAATGATAAATTATAAAAATAATAGAAAAAATAATGTGTAACCCTAGACATTTTGTTGTAAAAGCATGTACATCACTGATTGTTACTTTGACAGGTTCTTAAGTCAATAATACTGTAGATTCCTGAATATACAAGAGGAAGTGTTTGTTACATAATTTTGCAAGAAAAAAAAATCGAGATCTGTAAAGTCTTCTAATGGATTTATGTTCTCACAATTTGTCTAAGATTATTTCTAGATTATTTTAAAGTACTCACATAAAATAGGAATCTACAGTAACAATATTTATCTGCATATTTTAGTCTTATTTAGTATAGAAAAGTTTAAATATTTATTTCAGATAAAGCTAGAGGTATAATCTATTTTTAGTATGCTAATCATGCACCAAACATTCTGCACTTATCACTACTTACCCTTATACATCACATTTTGTTTAGAAATATTTTTGCATGACCTGCATTGAAGTTGGTGGTGGGATGGGGTTATTATTAAAAAATCACTGTCATTGTCTGTCTTTCCATCTGTCTGCCTGTATCTCAGATGGTATCAAAACCAAACTTGAACATGTTGTGATTTATGATGAGTTTAATGCTTCCCATGGATGCTGTATCTGACCTACATTTGATGTTTTCTGGTTTAGTTCAGTATTGATGTCAATTCTGTCTCTACTATTATGGTAGGGGAAAAATATGATGTATATGCTGATGCTTACTCTGATGCATGCTCCATATGCTGTTTCTGACCTACATTTTATGCGTGAGTGACTCTGGTTGAGATCAGTCTTGAAATCTGTTCACAAGTGATATACCGTATAATGGGTATTTTCTGCGGTTGGAAATTTTTGTGATTTAACCCCTAAAAGATAGAAAATTAATTTCTGCGTTTTCAATTTCTGCGGTTGCATTATACCGCAAAAAAGTATTTACTGGGTATGATCACCAATCTCCAAGAATTATCAGATAGCTGCCATGTTGACGTTTTATAAATTCATTGAGACGTATTGATCAAAGTTGCATGAGAACTGGTATTTAAGCTTAACTAAACTACTATCTTATTTCAGTTGGTCTTTGTAAAATTATGTTGAGTCCCAATTGAAATGAATTATTGCAGTATCGATCCACCCAAACAACAATAAAAAATCTTTATTCTACATTGTAACAAACAATTTATGCGATCTATTAAAATATTTTATTATATAGATAATTAATGCATCCAAGCCATATTCTAAAAAATACACTTATAGTTAATTGCCATCAAAATTAATCTGGTGTTTATATTTTAAGCTCAAACAAACAGTTGCATAATCAAGTAACCTAAAGTTGACCGTGTACAATCACAGGTGCCATGTGCATTGAGGCGTAACTAATCCTGTCAGTCATCTGCATTGTGTGAAATTCACGAGACAATCAAGCCACTTTGTGTATACAAGCAGTAATTATGGTCTCCAGATAAAACACAAGATTGAAAAAAATGTTAAAGAAAGAAAGAAAAGCTACTATGTGTTGTTTGCAGCTATTGGAGTTTGGACTATTAATTGCGATATCTCTTCTAGTCATTTACATGTACATGTATATCCGTATAAAATAAAGAAGTAGGTACAAGAAAAGATGTTTTTGTATAAACTTATTAAATTAATATTATTTACAGCAACGTTTTAATTCAATATGTTTTGGAAAAATCCTGATATCTAAAATCTTTCGAATTTCGATGACACCCGAATTTTCTCGCTAATGAGGACATTTATGCACCACTTATCATACTTGCATGTATGAAATATATATCTGAAGAAATATTGAAAAATATTTTGCGATTGTAATTTTTGCGGATTTGTCCTATCCGCAAAATTCCGCAAAAAATGGACAACCGCAGAAAATACCAGTTATATGGTATGAATCAATCTTGCTTGTTTGGTGAATCCATATTGTTTTCATTCCTGACCATTACATCTTTGTTGAAAGGTGTCCAATGATGGATGTATTTGTCTGTTATGAAAGATCTATATTTTTTTTGAATTTACCTGCTTTGATGTTGAGCACTTTTCCTTCAAAAACTCATGACTTTTTGCTTTAATGTTAGCAAATGAACATTTGTGCAAGGAAATGCCATCTGCATGCATTTACATCAGAGGTGCCTTAAAAGTGCTTGGCCCTTTCAGTAACATTGATTAGATTTATAAAAAGATTTTAGGGAAATAATATTCAAGGGGAAATAATTTAGAGAAAGTCAATAAGGAAAAAAAGAGAAAAGAATGGCATGGCTCTGGAAGATCAGGCTTCATGGTCTCTTGCTGTCATGGTTATGAGTTTTACAAGACTTTAATTGGTCACTGCATGGGGCTTTTTATAGAATTGAAAATACATGTATTTACTGCCACTTGGTAAAAATGTAATGCATGTTTGTTTCAGCATGTTCATTGATTGCAAATTTAATATTCATGAAGGAAGGGTGGGTATGAGAAAATAATGAGCAAACTTAATGTACCGATACATATAACCTGCATTTCTTTAAGATTATAAATAGGTGTTCAAGTACATCCTAGAAAAAAACAGTTTTTGCAAGATGCATGATTAATTGGATGTTTATATAGGGTAATTAATCTTGGTATTTCAGAAGACAAGACTCGTAGACATTGTTTTGAGCCCCCACCTGTGTCAGGCGTAGTGTTCCCTATTCCAGAGAAATTTGACAACTACAAAGATTATGTAGACATATTTATCCCTCATCTGCTGCAGGAGGCATGGGAACAGGTAGGATGTGTTTATATGACCAGATCACTGCAGGAGGCATGGTAACAGGTAGAATGTGTTTATACAACCAGATCACTGCAGGGGACATGGGAACAGGTAGGATGTGTTTATATGACCAGATCACTGCAGGAGGCATGAAAACAGGTGGGATGTGTTTATACAACCAGATCACTGCAGGAGGCATGGGAACAGGTAGGATGTGTTTATACAACCAGATCACTGCAGGGGACATGGGAACAGGTGGGATGTGTTTATATGACCAGATCACTGCAGGAGGCATGGGAACAGGTGGGATGTGTTTATATGACCAGATCACTGCAGGAGGCATGGGAACAGGTAGGATGTGTATATATGACCAGATCACTGCAGGAGGCATGGGAACAGGTAGGATGTGTATATATGACCAGATCACTGCAGGAGGCATGAAAACAGGTGGGATGTGTTTATACAACCAGATCACTGTGGGAGGCATGGGAACAGGTAGGATATGTTTATATGACCAGATCACTGCAGGAGGCATGGGAACAGGTAGGATGTGTATATATGACCAGATCACTGCAGGAGGCATGGGAACAGGTGGGATGTGTTTATATGACCAGATCACTGCAGGAGGCATGAAAACAGGTAGAATGTGTTTATACAACCAGATCAGTGCAGGAGGCATGGGAACAGGTAGGATGTATTTATACGACCAGATCACTGCAGGAGGCAAGGGAACAGGTAGGATGTGTTTATATGACCAGATCACTGCAGGAGGCGTGAAAACAGGTGGGATGTGTTTATACAACCAGATCACTGCAGGAGGCATGGGAACAGGTAGGATGTGTTTATACAACCAGATCACTGCAGGAGGCATGGGAACAGGTAGGATGTGTTTATATGACCAGATCACTGCAGGAGGCATGGGAACAGGTAGGATGTGTTTATATGACCAGATCACTGCAGGAGGCATGGGAACAGGTAGGATGTGTTTATATGACCAGATCACTGAAGGAGGCATGAAAACAGGTGGGATGTGTTATATGACCAGATCACTGCAGGAGGCATGGGAACAAGTAGGATGTGTTTATATGACCAGATCACTGCAGGAGGCATGGGAACAGGTAGGATGTGTTTATATGACCAGATCACTGCAGGAGACATGGGAACAGGTAGGATGTGTTTATATGACCAGATCACTGCAGGAGGCATGAAAACAGGTGGGATGTGTTTATATGACCAGATCACTGCAGGAGGCATGGGAACAGGTATGATGTGTTTATATGACCAGATCACTGCAGGAGGCATGAAAACAGGTGGGATGTGTTTATACAACCAGATCACTGCGGGAGGCATGGGAACAGGTGGGATGTGTTTATATGACCAGATCACTGCAGGAGGCATGAAAACAGGTGGGATGTGTTTATACAACCAGATCACTGCAGGAGGCATGGGAACAGGTAGGATGTGTTTATATGACCAGATCACTGCAGGAGGCATGGGAACAGGTAGGATGTGTTTATATGACCAGATCACTGCAGGAGGCATGAAAACAGGTGGGATGTGTTTATACAACCAGATCACTGCGGGAGGCATGGGAACAGGTGGGATGTGTTTATATGACCAGATCACTGCAGGAGGCATGAAAACAGGTAGGATGTGTTTATACAACCAGATCACTGCAGGAGGCATGGGAACAGGTAGGATGTGTTTATATGACCAGATCACTGTAGGAGGCATTGGAACTGGTAGGATATTTAAATGACCAGATTTACTGCAGGAGGCATGGGAACAGGTAGGATGTGTTTCTATGACCAGATTTAATTTAGGAGGCATGGGAACAGGTAGGATGTGTTTCTATGACCAGATTTAATTTAGGAGGCATGGGAACAGGTAGAATGTGTTTATACAACCAGATCACTGCAGGAGGCATGGGAACAGGTAGGATGTGTTTCTATGACCAGATTTAATGCAGGAGGCATGGGAACAGGTAGGATTTGTTTCTATGACCAGATTTACTTCAGGAGGCATGGGAACAGGTAGGATTTGTTTCTATGACCAGATTTAATTTAGGAGGCATGGGAACAGGTAGGATGTGTTTCTATGACCAGATTTACTTCAGGAGGCATGGGAACAGGTAGGATTTGTTTCTATGACCAGATTTACTTCAGGAGGCATGGGAACAGGTAGGATAGGATTATATGACCAAATCACTGCTGGAGGAAGGAAACAGGTGTGGAATAGGTTCACCACTTGAGTACACTCAGAGAGGAATTAAATGCAATTCTGAGCTTTGGTATTATGACATTTTTAATAATTTGGAATGTATGACCCATTCCTCTTTAAACAAAAAACTACATTTCTACCTGTATGTCTGTAAAATTGAAGACTATTAGTTTTGAGTAATGACATTTGTTATTTAATGTTGTTCGCTGCAGAAGGAATACAGAATAATAATGGTGATAACAGAACCTCTTCTTTTTCTAATGACAAAATTTTGACCATTGCTTTGGTCTATGAGATAATGCTTCAAATATTAACTATGTCTCCTGCCTTTACACACAAGTTCAATAAAGATTAGTATGAGCTTTTAAGAATGCCAAGATTATAGATTAATACTTGCATAGACTGAAGAAAAAGTTTGAGGTCTGTATTATCTTTTTGTTGGAGGTCAATATTACCCAGTGTTGATCTTTATAAACACACGCTGAACATTCTTAAAAATTCATGTCCACAATATAAATATAGAGGATTTTATTTAAAGTTTGTTAACCAAAAAAACCTCATTATTTATAAGGAACCTTCAAATGATTTTTGGCAATACATGTAAGTCATATATGTCACGTAAATCCCATGAGGATCAAAATTTGAGGATTTAACTTGTTCGTATGATCTTAACCTGTATTTTAGTCTTATCAAAGCTGGAAGACATGGAAGAACCGGAATTCTTATCCACAAATTGGAGCTGTTTATTCATCAGTTGAAAAAAGTAATGCAACCAGTAATGCATTTGAAAGATACACATGGTATAGTAAGTATTCTTACATCCATCATCAGTGACCTAGTGAAAACTTCAGGTCAATTAGACAAAGTCAGGGTCACATCATCAGCCACCTAGTGACAAACTTCAGGTCAATTAGAAAAGGTTAAAATCATGTCATCAATGACCTTGTGAAAAACTTAGGTCAATAAGACAAACTCAAGATGACATCATTAGCCACCTAGTGACAAGCTTCTGATCAATAAGACAAAATCAAGATCACATCATCATTCAACTAGTGACAACCTCCAGGTCAGTAAGACAAGTTCAGTGTCACATCATCAGTCACCTAGTAACAACCTCCAGGACAATTAGATAAGTTCAAGGTCTTTTTCATCTCTGACCTAGTGACAACCTCCAGGTCAATTAGACAAAGTCAATGTCACACCATCAGTCACTGAGTGACAACATCCAGGTCAAGAAGACAAGTTCAAGGTCACATCATCAGTCACTAAGTGACAACCTCCAGTTCAATTAGACAAGTTCAAGGCCACTTCATCAGTCATCTAGTGACAACCTGCAGGTCAATTAGACAAGTTCAAAATCACATCGTCAGTCACCGTTTGACAACCTCAAGGTCAATGAATTAAGTTCAAGGTCACATCATCAGTCACCTATTGACAACCTCCAGGTCAGTTAGACAAAGTCAAGGTTACATCATCAGTCACCAAGTGACAATCTTGTACCACTTATTTTAAGTAACCAACATTGAAATGAAGACTTCAGAAATTGAAGCAATAAGATACTGTAATCCAGCTTTTGTATGTGTGCGAGAAATATACACTGTACCTAAATTGTGAATAATTTATTTTGTTAATTTGTCATACTTCAAGCTCTAAATATTACTGATATTTGACAATTTGAGTACAGGTAATACATACTTGACCATTTGCTTTACAGGTATAATTACAAAACAGATGTACGAAACAATGAGAAAAAATGACCAGTTGGGTGACAAATTTCTTGTTATCATAAAAGACTATGGCCATTACCTGAAAAGCAAGGAAAGGAAAATGGATGAAAAATTGTACCAGCCAAATTATTGGGACCAGATTGGATACATAGAAAAAATCCAGCCCCATACCCACCCAGAGAAAGTGAAACAGACCCTTAATACATTCAAAGTTTTAGGTTGGTTTAGTTTATTTAACAGATAAATAGAGGATATTAAATGTTTTGTTGTTGGATATAGAATTTAATTCATGAGTGGGACAGGATTTTTATACGCCCGTCTTTAGACGGGATGTATTATGTTATGGCGTTCATGTCCGTCTGTCCGTCTGTTAGCTTTTATCGTGTCCGGCTCATAACTTTAATACTATTAGGCCTAGGATTATCAAATTTTGTCAGCTGATACTTCTTGGGTAGAAGGTGTGTCGCACATTGAAAGTAGGTCGCTCTGACCTTTAATTAAGATGCTCTGGCCAAAAATGGAAAAATCCTGTCCGGCTCATAACTAGAAAACTATAAGACTTAGAATTATCAAAGTTGGTCAATTTATGCATCTTAGGTAGAAGGTGTGTCGCGACAAATTTCAAGGTCACTGTGACCTTTAATTTAAGTGAAATTTAAAAAAAAAAAATATTTTATACTATTACATTACACAATCCCCAAAAATACAAGAGTGTTGCAGTATCCTTATTAAAAAAATGTTAAATCAAGAAAATACTTATTTTTTTCATAATATACTTTACAGCAGTCTATAACAAATGTAATGTTACAAGGAAAAATTCCACCTCTCCCATGGGTGTAATTATCAAGCACTGGTCAAGAAGAATTTGATAACAGAAAATTGCATGTCAAATTAGAGAGAAATTAATGAGTTTAGTGTGAGGAGCTAACTGGTAGAGCATCTCTGATCTAGCAGGTGTTATCTATATCTCTTGGGAACTGGGCAAAAAGAATCAGCTGTGTTGGATTAAATAGTTGGCTAGCCCAACTTTTAAAATGAATTTGGTGAAAAGTAATTAAAACTTATTTGATATTGTATAACAAATTATAATTTAAATAATATAATTATTATATAATATAATTAAAACTAATTATACTCGGGATTGCAGCTTAAAACCAGTCTGACATTAAGTCTAAAAAAAATCAAGTATTTAAAAAAAAATGTTTTTAATTATGGTAGATAGTCCCTACAAATCTAAGAGTAAATTGCAGGAACCTTATTAAAAACGTTGCATCAAGATTACACAAGTTTTTTGTTTCTTTTTATAAATCTTTGTAACAAATTTTTAAAAAAAATCTTTGTTTTCAAATTTAATTTCAGAGTGACATAAATATGCATTTTTATTGCACTACAAAGCAGATAGTATATATAGATCCATTCATCCATTGGGATTAATGAGTGGACATGCATCCATGCAGTTAAAGATTAATTAATGAGTTCAGTGTAGGGAGGCTAGCTGTCTCAATCATTTCTGTTAGATGATCTCTGATCAAGCAGCTGTTATCTGTATCTTTTGGGAATTAGACAGAAGAACTGCTGGTCAGTTTATAGCATATGTCATTTGATGGCCAGCCTTTTATTTTTAATATTAATTTGATATAGATTAAGTTGTTAAGACAAAATTGATATTGTTTAATATGATATTTTTATTTAATATTTTGAAAATATCAACTAATTCAGAGCATCATGTCTCTCAAATCTGAAAGCTGGGGGGGGGGGGGGGGGGGGGGGGGGACAGATGGACATTTGTCAAGCTCTAACACAACCAGTTGAGGATCTATAATGTAATATTTGTTATAATTAATGCCTACATCACAGGAGATGTATAAACAAATATTAAAAGGAATGGAAAAATCATTGAAATCCTTGTATCAAGGTTTACATGATTTTCTTGTACTCTAAACTGTTTATGACAATTGAACAATATTTGACGGGCGTATCATGCTGTGGCGGGGCACTTTATTTGATATTTTCACAAGTGTGAAGCAAAAGTCTTTCACACTATGCCAAAATATCACTTTGATATTGTTTCACATTGTGCCAAAATGTCACTATGATATTCTTTCATACTGTGACAAAATACAGTTGAACTTCGATATCTGGAACACTGATATCTCAAATACCATGGATATGTCTAAGTGATTTGGAAACCACAACTACTTATTCTTTAAGTATTTTACCCTATCTCGAATCTTCGGATATGTTAAAGTTTTTTCTCTGTCCATCAAGTTTGAGATAACGAGGTTTGACTGTACTATGGAATCATTAAATTTCTTGGTGGCTCAATATTCCTGGAATTCATGGGTACCCTGTATCAATGAATTCACATCCTCAACAAATTAATGATTTGGGTTTAGAGTAATCTTTCCTTTTGTAGATATAAGTGAATATATGGAATTACATTCTTTTGAACCTGTTAAATTTAGGCAATCCTTGAAAATTGGCCCCCATGAATTTTAATGATTCCACAGTATCAGTTTTATTCAATTTACCTGTATTGATGTATATTAAGACAGAAATTGAGAAGGGGCTCTTTTTTCATATTTTTCTGAACAAAAGATCAAAGATAATAAAAGCTAGGTACATCATAGAATGCCAGGTTGAAGGTTACAATCAGAGTACATAGATCACAGGTCAATTGGATGGGGAGATTGTATAGCACAAATATTTCTCTTTTTTTCAAGGCTATAACTGTAGAATCGTTGATTTTTCAAGTATCTTCATGTTTAATGTTAAGAATTTTACGTAGCCTTTGGCATTTAAGCTTACCGTAGTTTGGGGTCATTATAAATGGTTTAATTACATATTTATCTGTCGGAAACAGTCATATGGCATAAGCTAGCATTATAGCCCTTTAACCTCCTACTTGATATTTTTATTATGTTTCATTGTTTCAGGAACTGATCCTTCCGCACGGCAGAATGGTGCTATTGTCCTGTGTCTAACTATCCTCAGTCGACGACGCCCACTTTTCAAACACCTGTTGGATAAACTATCTTTCATACAGGTAATTAATCCAAATCATTTAAATGCAAGAGGTAAACTTTGTAATAGATATATTGATATTAATGTATTAAGGACAGATGATACGAACCAAAAAATGGATGTCTGGATAGGTATACATTTTTGGACCTATTTTGATTTTGAATGATGCAAATGGTAAATTTCTAAATTATTAAGAAATTGTAAACTTTTTTTGATGTTCAAAATTCTACTTTTCTGCAATCATCCTTATTAATCTATACAATTTTTTGTCACTTTAAATCCCATTATGTGAAACTTCGAATGAAAAATTAAAAACTATGTGGTTAAACTTATTCATTTTACTTACATAAACATGATTTACATGTAAATTGTTATTTTCAGGATATTTGATAAAAGTTTGTTTGTATCATCTGTCCTTAAAAGTATTTTTAAATTTCTTGGGTGGCAGCAAGGTCGTTTACTGGAAAATAGGATATTTTCTCCATTAGCATCTTATGATAACTAGAAACAAAGTGAATGTTTTGGAGAATATAAGTAATTATAATTATAGTTTGGATTAAAGTGATTGAAATAATCACTTACTTAAATTACTTAGTTTCTCATTTAGCTTCTCATTTTTACTCTTGAATGGCTATTGAAGAGAAATTCTACCAGCAGGGTTTAGTTTCATTATATGTATATATTGGCCATCTTTAAAAAATTGTTTGACTGCCTATCCAGACCGACTGGCTAAAAATGGCCCAGCTCAAAACTTTTTAACCTCCAGGAAACAATTATTTTTTTATGCGTTCCGGAAAATAGATTTTAAAATTTCAGCATTGATGTTGAAATTTTCTCAGAAAAAAAAATTTCCCACCTACCTACCAACCCAATTTTTTCATCCTGAGTCGGGAGTGAGACAACAAACCTTATTTTAAAGTTGGCCTTATATTTTTTTTTCAGCCTTTGGCTTCTTTGGTAACCACTGTGCGTCAGTTTAATGCTGTCAGCAGTCTTCCCAAAAGTCCACTATGTCAGCACATCCTGTCCCCTGGGCAGAAGGAAGTGTTTTACCAAAATGTTACAGTTGCTGAACCTGAGAAGCAGTCTCTAGTAAATTCTTTTATTTCTGTTATATCTCTGATATGCTTCATAATGATAAGTGGAGTAGAATTTTTTTAAAGATTTAATCTTAAAAAACCTAGATCCTAAAGATCCTTAAAACCACACTCCACATTTTTATGAATAAATTATTTTGATTAAAGTTCAGTCAGTTAAATCAGTTTGAATATAAGTTTTTCATCCTATACTGAAAGATTTTCTCCCGTGCTTTTGATTTTCTTTGAATTTACGTTTGGTTACCATGTTATAATATTATACTTTCATGTAAATTAGTTGAATCTGATTCGTCGAGAAACATTTGTTAAAAAACACTATTACCCGCTGAATAATGAAGCCACGCCCACCAGCGTAGCAACAGTTAACATTGCTTGACGACGGGTATTATTCAAAAAAATATTGACTGCGCAGAATTCATGCGCGCAAGGTTACTGTAATATGTATTTGTATAAAACATTCAGTATAATATAATAAATACTGCATGTAGTTGAGTGTAACATTGAAAATTTTAACCCCTCGAAAACCATTGTCAACCTCGGCTGCGCCTCGGTTGACAATGGTTTTCTTGGGGTGAAAATTTTCAATGTTACACTCAACTACATGCAGTATTTATATTTATATAATATTCTCTGGTTACCATGTTATCATATTCACTGGTTACCATGTTATCATATTCTCTGGTTACCATGCTATCGAGGCTATCCTTTCCGTTGGTCATCATGTTATCTTATCCTTAGGTTGTGATGTTATCCTTTCTTTTGGCTGCCATGTTGTCATGTCCTTTAGTTGCCATGTTATCCTATTCTTAGGTTGTCATGTTTTCCTATCCTTAGGTTGACATGTTATGCTATCCTTTGGTTGCCATGTTATCCTATCCTTAGGTTGCCATGTTATTCTATTCTTTGGTTACCATGTTATCCTATCCTTAGGTTGCCATATTATCCTATCCTTTGGTTGTCATGTTATCCTATCCTTTGGTTAACATGTTATCCTATCCTTAGGTTGCCTTGTTATCCTATCCTTTGGTTAACATGTTATCCTATCCTTTGGTTAACATGTTATCCTATCCTTTGGTTAACATGTTATCCTATCCTTTGGTTAACATGTTATCCTATCTTTTGGTTACCAGGTTATCTAATCCTTTGGCTGTAATACATACTGATATATTTTTATAATCTGATTTAGGATCTGTTCATCAGTCCTTGAGAAAAAAATAATGACAATCATGTGTTCCATGATATGTTTTATTCAAGATTCTCTAACTGAAGTGTTATGTTGTAGAAGCAGTACAACGATTCCCAGCGTCTGGCCATATGTACAGCATCAAAGATGATATTACAGGATTCACAGGTGCCTAAGATCGGTCTCCTTCAAGGTCCCCCAGGCACAGGCAAAAGTCTCACTGTCGTCGGCATTGTAGAAAAATTTTTACAGGTATTTATATCACAATATAAACACATCCTAATTTTCATCTTTTTTCTATTAACTTGATGAAATTAGAATGTGGTGTTTGAAATACTGTTGAAGGAGTTGACCTTTGCCATAACATTATAACTGAACACAGAGTAGAAATAGAATTATTATTTTGATACCACCTAATATGTTGGCTATGATTTTTTCTTTTGAATAAATGGATAATTTTCAGACATTTTTTTTTCTCATTTGTTTGTTATAGCAAGGAAAAATTTATTTTTTCTTTGACATTTAACCATTGTTATTAATACATCTTATTACTGCAAAATCGCTTAATTTCAAAGGGGGGGGGGCATTTTTTTATGACTGGAGAAAAAGTAATGGTTTGTTGGAATATGATTTTGTGGAAGAATTGTTCAGTGTATATGTACTTGTAAAATTTCTTGGAGGATAGAATTTGTTAATTGGTCTTTTCATACCATAAAAACAAAGAAAATTAATCTCCCCACAAAAATTAGTGATTTCACAAAATAGAGATACATATTTTAGAGAATTCAAACCTTACCAGACTTAGTGTCTTGGATCTTACAAATCCTGATTTTGCCTCTATAAACTTCAAATGAGAACTGGTTTTTCAATTTGTTGTACATGTATGAGACAGTGCTTTTTTTTCTTAACACTCAGGAAGAAAATACATCATGTTTTGTGGTTGTCACCCAGACATGCCATTGCTTACACACACATTAACAATTTATTAAAAAAATAAAATTTAAGATACATATATAGTTTATCGTATAAATAGAAAAGATGATGATATCTTTATGTATAAAACTTCATTGATGTACCTCAAGCGGTTTTAATTTCATGGCACTTGTCCACAAGCTTTTTGATAACCCCTAGTACATTCCTTTCTGTATCTAATTTATGAAATGGATATCTTTAAACTAAGGATTGTGTTCTGTATTAAATAATTTCTTCCTGCAGCTTTGTGGGTCCCATTTGCGGATTTGTCTCTGTGCTCCATCCAATAATGCTGTAGATCTTCTAATAAAACGTTTGGATGACCACAAAAAAGAAAAAAGAAACACAGGTCTGTCACTATAGATCTCATATATATTAGTGTATTTGGATTGTTACATTCATAAGTTGTTTTGCCTAAGTTGTTGCTGTACATTTTGTAACCTTGTAAAAAGTTAGTAGAACTTTTATAAATAATTATACATGTATGTTGATATAGTAATGTGTTTTTGTACAATCAATTTATTGTAAAGCTTAATCCATTAAATTTTGATTATAATTATATGGCCCCCTGCAGAATAGGAATCACTCTGTCAGTTAATCTGTTTTTGCCTGTCAGTCCATTAGTTTTGTTCATATCTGAAACCAGCATTCATAGATATGAAAGCTTGTCAAGACCTTAAACCTCATAAAAATAAAAGCTTGTCAAGACCTTGAACCTCATAGCTATGAAAGCTTGTCAAGACCTTGAACCTCGTAGCTATGAAAGCTTGTCAAGACCTTGAACCTCATAGATATGAAAGCTTGTCAAGACCTTGAACCTCATAGATATAAAAGCTTGTCAAGACCTTGAACCTCATAGATATGAAAGCTTGTCAAGACCTTGAACCTCATAGATATAAAAGTTTGTCAAGACCTTGAACCTCATAGGTATGAAAGCTTGTCAAGACCTTGAATCTCATAGATATGAAAGGTTGTCAAGACTTGAACCTCATAGATATAAAAGCTTGTCAAGACCTTAAACCTCATAAAAATAAAAGCTTGTCAAGACCTTAAACCTCATAAAAATAAAAGCTTGTCAAGACCTTGAACCTCATAGATATGAAAGCTTGTCAAGACCTTGAACCTCACAGATATAAAAACTTGACAAGACCTTGAATCTCATAGATATGAAAGCTTGTCAAGACCTTGAACCTCATAGATATAAAAGCTTGTCAAGACCTTAAACCTCATAAAAATAAAAGCTTGTCAAGACCTTAAACCTCATAAAAATAAAAGCTTGTCAAGACCTTGAACCTCATAGATATAAAAGCTTGTCAAGACCTTGAACCAATGCCATTGGCATGACTTGAAGATCACTGGAGGAAAACTATTAAGGGAAAGGGTGTGTTGCAACCCAAAAAATGAACTACTTCTTATATTTTCTATGTGTGATTTATTTTTTCCTTTGCCCAGCCTTGCTTGTATTTTATTAAAAGGACAGCTCCTAATATGTATGTAGGTGCTTTTCACTGATACAGTGAAAACTGTGTGTGAATCCAACACCTATGTAATCTGTGAATTCCCACCCTTATTATACCCCACGCATAAAGTTGCGTGAGGTATAATGTTTTGACCCGTCCGTCAGTCAGTCAGTCCGTCAGTCTTGTTTTTTTGTCAGCGCAACTCCTCATAAACCGCTGCACAGAATTTCGTCAAACTTTGCAGATATTTAGGACACAATGTGTAGATTTGCATATTACCTGGAAATTCCGATTCCTTTATTTTTTCTGGGAATTTCGGCACTTTTCAACTTAGATTTTTGGCCATATCTTGAATATAGGGGACACTTCTAGTATACCGGTCCCTAAATATGGCACTAAAATAGGTGCCGTCGAAGGCGGTGTACAATATAATATGATCGCGTGAGCGTTCACAAAATCGATAAAAAAAGGCCACAAATCGCAAAATTGAGCCAAAAATCATGTTCTTTGTGAAAAATTGGGTTTAAGGGAGTATGGTACTGACAAGTCCTAATTTCGGAGTAATTAAAACTCTAAAACATCCACATAAAATGAAAGAAGTACCTTTATATATTTCATAAAATATTATAAGAAAAGGTTCTAGTGAGTAAATCAAAAATTATGACGCACTAAAATAAGGGGGGTAACTCTGTATGATAAAGTGATATTTTTATAACCAATTTTTAAAAAATTGAGAACAACAATAAAAACAATATAAAAATATTTTTTTGAAAAAGATGTCATCCACAATATTGAAATTTTAATTTTAAAACAAAATAGTGCAAGAAAAAAGCCAGAAAGACAAATTAATTTTGATTCATTTATATCATGACAATTTATTGGGAAAATAGGTTCATGTATATGTACAACGTATTTTTTAATAATGAAAGAATAATTAAAAGTTTGATATCTTATGCTATATTTATAGTGATTTGCTTGCTTTACAAATTGCTAATAAAAAATTATAATGTTAGTGTGTAGTTTTGGAGTAATGTGCTCCCGAATTTCCTGACCCGAATTTCCTCTGCTCAAAAAGCTGTTATAAAATGTTAAAATAATGAGATTGCAATTTATTTACTTGCTTATAGTTTCTAACTCTCCTGATTTAGTCGTTTTAAACTCAAATTTTTATTATAGTTATTATTTTTCTCTTGTGACACGGCGGGCAATGCTTTTCACCAGATTTTTGCCGAACAATCCGAAAATCTTCCGATTTCCCCGTTTGGTTTTGTACATTATCAAGTACACGTCACTTCCAGTTTGCAACTCGTACACAAAATGCCGAATCGGAATCAAAGTTGAAAGTAGACTTGGAGGAGGTGTTTACAATTATCTATGAATTGTTTTGAACAAAACAAAAAAAAAAAAAAATAGAATTTAAAACTCCGGCTTATAATTTCTAACTTTTAGTGGAACGGATGAAATAAAGTGAATTGACGAAGACAGAATGCTCGAGGCTTATTGTACATTCTTTCTATGTCTCCATGTTTAATTTTAAATAATAATAAATCTTTGTCTTGAATGAATATTTTCCATCTTCAGCAATATTGAAAGATTAGATATGATTCAGTAACTATTAACTAACCAGCTATTAAACCCAGGTCCGTAGAATGCGGGGGGTGGGGGTGGGGGTTCTGAGTAAAGTATATCGTTCTAGTAAATTTTCCCTTAGATGCTAGTCTCCAATGTCGAGCACTAGCAAATTCCAGGATTTGGATAGTGAAATTAGGTGTTTTTTTTTATATTTGCTTGTCAGATTTTTGAGAAATATTGCCCCCCTTTTTTTGGTCTTTTTTTCCTTTATCAGATTTTTTGGGGGAAGTTGCCCCCCCCCCCCTTTTTGAAATTGTTGCTACAAGTCTGACTAAACCATCATACATGCTGTTGAAGCTAGGGAAAATAGTGACACCACCACAATATACTACACTGTACTTTGCTATGCATGTGTACAATATGGTGTAGAGCAATATTTGACAAAATCAGATAAAATTTTAAGAGCTAAAACCACAAAGTACAAAAATAGTCCTTGACTAAAATAGATGAACTTATGTTTTATAATTTGAAGGGTTTTAAACTATTTATCTTAAATATCTTTTTCTAGTTTTCTTTTTATGGTTAAAATAACCTTTGTTTCTCTAACAATAAGTTTACAAGTCAAGCAGTAGGCTTGTAGCAACGGTTTCAAAAGTTGGGGAGGGGGCACCTTCCCCCAAAAAAATCTGTCAAGCAAAAAGAAAAAAAAAAAAAAAAAAAAAAAAAAAAAAAAAAAAAAAAAACTAAACTCACCAAAAATAGGGGGAGGGGCTACTTCCCAAAATAATCTGATGGGCAAAAAAAAAAAAAAAAAAGAAACCAAACTAATTAAATGTCCATTTCGTGGAAATTGACAGTGCTTGACCTTGTAGCAACGACGGGGTGGGGGGGGGGGGTGGAGGCAATCACTATAGCAAACTACTATACTCGGAAAAAGTAGGTCCCCCCAGCATTCTACGGGCTTGAGCAGCTTTGTAATACTGCACCTGACATAACTCTCACACACTGACAGGAGCTTATAAATGAAGATAAAAACTTACAGTACATGACGTGAGGCAGCTTATTACCTCCTCAATGTAACCATATGCATGAGGGACGGGAGATTATTAATACAAGAAAGTTGTAGGAGATTATACATTCATGACATTGGGTCAGATTATGACACAGATTTGAGTGATAAGCAATTTTTGTGTCAAGTATCAACTACCAATTAGCCTCCATTTGAGAGTAATAGACCAGGTACAAATAACACACCTTTTCTGCCAGAAGCCTTGAACTTGCTGGAATGACCTTGAGTCAAGGTCAGTTACTCAATACATACATGTAACCTTAGGTTATATGCAATATTTATGATCAGTATGAGCATCTCATGTTCTCCATACAAAATACAGGAATTCAAAGTTTTTCTTAAAATGACATTTAACTTGATCAAAGGATCTTGAGTCAAGGTCATTAGCAGTCCTTGTATGCCATTTTCATCATTTTTCCAATGGAAAACCTTGTTAAAAATAAGGAAGATGAATTTCCCAGGTTCTACTCTTTTTTTTAACATGCAGTGTATTTAGCATCTGTTCATACAATGATAAGGTAATGAAATAATTTTTATAATGAAATGTATTTAATATTGCAAAATTCATGAGAATCAAAATACATTAACATATTGAAAACTTATTTGCTCTATCTACAATTAAAAAAAAAAAGAAAAATAATTTGTAATTTGACCATATTTGAATTTATGAAAACTTATTACATTTAGTACCAAACACTGACATTGTATCTAAAAATGATGCTACAGACATGGCAAATTCTGATAACACCAATAATGTATCCACAACTGATGTCATGGACATTTCAAACAGACTGAAGATATATGACTCTTTTCATATAAAACTCTGGGGTCTTTCAACTGAAAAAGTCTGCATTCTGAGATAGAATCCACTTCACTTTTTATAACGAGTCACACACAGTTTTCAATTCACATCTTCCATCAATAACTCCATATCGAATATGTTGGCAATGCCAGTTTTAAACTGCATTCGATAATACTGGGACATCATAGGAAATGATAGTGTATCCAGTGACTACACTTTTCTTGTCGTTACTCAAAACTTTAGTCTAATTCTGATTGTTGCAAGAGAAACTTCTATGTTCACTTGTTATTGTACACCTTCATTCCATTTATTTTTAGACCTGTAATTTTGTCTGCCTGTTTATTGATTGTTCTTTGTGGAAAAAGTTGAAAACTTTTCTCGTCTCATTGCTGATATGATCATGATGTTCCCGCTCTCTGTAAGAAACAATAATCTTGTTTTAGTTA